AGCGTCACCGCCGCACCGCACAGTGCCCCGCACCGCACAGTGCCCCCCGCACGGCGCCTTGTTTTGATTCATGCAAATACGAATAAAAAGATTGTTTTAAAACTCCAACTCGAACAAAGTTACCCCTCTCTCTCGACTTTATTGAATTTTGATGATATTTTATTTATATTCGTGGCTTTCTGTGGAAGAACGTTACTAAAGGAAAATCAAACAAAATTGGTTCACGTAATTTTAGGTTACCTGTCTCATAACTAAATAAGTTGCAGATTTTGTGTTAAACATTTGAAAATTAAAGTTTATAAATACATACATTAAAATATTTGGCTACATTTAATACTTTGTGCTAAAAATTATTGATACTTTGAAAGCTAAAATCACTTTGTTCAATTCTATTTGTAACATGAATTGTATGTAGATATAAATTTAAACCATTCGCTAAACAATGATCGGTCGTTTCCACTGGGGAGGGGGAGGGGGAGGGGCATAGCTAGAGTAATTACTGGTCACAGCGCGCAGGCGATCAATTGTCGAGAACTCTCTAGAGTTCTGCTGCGGTCTGCCAGTGTCTCCAGACAAGCTTTGTACTACTTCGGAACAATTCACCTTAAACGTCACGTAATATGTATGTAAATGTTTTTTATACAACCAATGAAACTAAATAATTTAAGTTTCAAAGATTGTGTCCAATGAGATTTTTTTTTTACTTGGCGTCATAAGGTATCAGCAATTAAGATTTGTAGCTGGAATACCAAACTAGATAGGAACGAATGAAACACGAAGGTATCGTGGTAGAGTTAAATAAGTAGATAGCGCAACAATTTTCTTGGTAAAACCCTTTTCCTCGGAACCAATATACGAAAGTCTTAAAGTTACATTCAATAATACAATTTTGGCAAAATATTAATTAAGCATAAAACCTTAAAAAGAACAAGTTAAACTGAACTTCATAAGTAAGCCCACACCAAACGTTAAAAAGAAGTTGAGCAATTTCCGACGGCTGTATTTAGAATAGTCCATAGAACCTTTGTAAAAAGGGTCGAGAGGAAAGTTAAAAATTAAAAGAACGTTCTGATGTATCGCAACCTTATAAAGTGTTTGCTTTACAAACTTTTCTCTATCACATAATTTTGTTATTAAGTTATTTTTACATCGTCGAACCGTTGAAATAAAATCGTGTCAATAGCCATTGCTGTTGTTTTCATATCAAATCTGGAGCTAATTGAAGATATGTATAAAATACAGCATGATAACTCGGCACAAAAGTGAGTCTAAAGAGAAGGCAAGTCGCGTGAGCCCACACCTAACCATTGACCTGATAAAAGGCTTGCCCCCGATCCCGTGCGACTAATTTGCTGAGAGCGGCTTCTATTAGCCTACACCCGCTCACATCGACCGATTAACCAAACTTGTTACTAACCTAAATATAATAAAATATTCACGTGTATTATTACATGTTGTTGCACAGATGTATAGTACAACCTCTCAGTAAACATATTCCCCGTGATCTAGATTAATAAATTCACTTAACGTTTCATGTTTATTCATCGGTCAGTCTACGGCGAACTTCGTGAGCCTGATATTTCTCGAGTCCGGCTTCTGCGTATGCTTTCAAAGTCCCAAAAGTTTAAAAGTACAAAAATTTAAAAACGTTAATTTAAAATAAAACTATTAGCATTCATCGAATGAACTGAGATGTATGGGACAAATTGAAGGGCTGTTAAAATTCAGCTCTTTGGAAAAATATTACAAAAGTTATCATAAAAAATAGCGCACTTGACATTCATGACATGACGTAAAGAACAGCTCTCAATTTGAAACATAAAATTTCGTAGCGATTCAAGCGAACTAAGTGTCATTGATGATGCTCGAAAAGAACAGTCTAGAGCGGATTGCATCAGATTCATTTTTGTAAAATACGAGCGACCCAATTTCGAAGTCAACATCGCTGAGTGTGTTTTTGTGCTTTAGTCCACCGCAACTACACCTTCATTCGATATACTATGAAGTTTATTACATTCTCTTTGAACTGTTTGTTCTTTTCTTTTCAATTATAATAAGAGTACGAGCAAATTGTTTCATTGTGTACGTCCTTGAACTGTAAGCATTATTTTACCCTCACTATATTGTAGTCTAGAAATTATATTCCTATTTGTTGACTATAGCTAGCGTACCTGCAGTAACTATGACCTGATCAAAGTGTTACGTTTTCTAAAAACTAGATATTCAATTTAGATTTCTAATCAAAAAGCTATTACCGCCGAGGTGAGCTCGTATTTTTTTATTTTTAGATTGAATTCGCACTACCTCATAGCCTTGATCATATCTCATTCAATTTATCAGCCAGTCGATAAAATGGAATACACGATCAAATCGAGTTTACGCGTCAAACCCAATTTGGATTATCTGATTCGCCAGTTGTACATAAAAATTGACTCTTTCGTGCGTTTAATTTGCCATCTTATTTATTTACATAAAACTATGACATAAAAAGTAAGACTGAAACATACTAAGTGCTATTAGTATATACTTTATAGTAATACTGCAAACTGTACTCTTTAAGGCCCCAACCTACATACATAATACTTGAAAGGAAACACTGACGCCGGCATCTTGTTCCACGTCTTTGCTGTATCACGTCTTTATTTAATATTGATGAAATATTTAATATTAATAATTTGTAACTAGATGAAATTATTCATTTCGGATTGAACATTCAATTGCTTTTGATTTCTAAGGATTCCATTCACTTTTTAATTTACAAAATTGTATTGAAAACTTATTATATTGAAATTGTTGTACACGAGTATTAGGTCGTAATAAGATATGTTTAAATCTGTAGACATAATACATTATAAGCGTATTAACACGCCGCTAAGCCGCGAACACCTCGCTTGAAATCATTGAGCGGTTATTCAGGCTGTTGACGACGCATTCACTCGAACACAGGCAAGTGTTGTTGCTTTTACGAATATACACCTTTTATGAATATCGCAGCTTCTTAATGGACATCACTATTTAAATTTATAAAAATACGTAAGTTCAGTTAAAGTTATAATTTAAAAATGCGTTACTTTAATTTGAAAAAACAATTATTTCCATCAAATTGGTAGAAAAACATAACAGTATCGACGCAGCAAAAGCTTTTACTTCAATTTGTATCACGATTCAGTAAATTAACTTCAATTTAGTAGCGATTGTATCTCAGGCAGACAGAATTTGTCGAGCCATTAAAACTTTACTTAACAAAAACTAAAATTGATTTATATTTAATTGATTCAAACGTAATGATGACCGTCAATTAAACTTACCTTAAACAAATCGATTTATATAGTAAAAAAGTAAATAAACAATAATATATACGTTACACAAGAGCATTGCACGAGGTATTTTATTTTATATTCAGTAGTAGACATACAAATCAAAATGAATATACAATAAACAATTGAATGCTTGTCTTTTTCACACAAATAATGAAAATATTCATCATCATAAAATAATAAGGAAGATATAGTTTGTAAATAAAAATACAATAATGTCGAGTCAAAGTTTGTGAATGGGATTCAAATAGAGTTGCAATTGAGCGAGTAAATTGTCGAGGAGCACATGCCCCGGTAAAGCAGTGTGGCGCGGTGTAGCTGAGGCGGCAGCGGGAGCGGCAGGTTAAGCGGTGAGGTGTCCCGGGCGGGCGGGCGGTCGGTGTCGATGCGCCGCGAAGTGTGACGATCCGTCTTCGTGACCGCTGTGTAAACATCGGCTTTATGAGATAACGGATGGCTTTCCTCACCTAATAATACGGCCTTTAAAATATACTCTCAATCCTACAGATAATACACAGGACTGACGTTTACATTGCTTTCTTATTGTTTGATATTGTTCACTGTTTTTTTGTAATATTTTTTTTTGTTACACATCATTAATATTTACAAATGTTTGTGGTAGAATCGCTATTAACTGTTTCCTGCACATTGGTCCAATTGACACAATACAGAAGATGATGAAAAAATATTTGTCTATTTTCTTTTGTTCTTTGAGTTTGAGTGAGAGTCGCCAGAGGCAATCTGATTATGACTGTCCACTGACAAAAATACAGCCGCAGTGCAAATAAAATTGGTATTAAAAATGGCAGTGCATTTAAATAAAAGGTAATGACAAATTTTATATAGCTTTGAAAAATTAAGCGAACTGGACGTTATAAATTGTAAGAATAAAATGCACTATAAAAAACCGGTTCGTTAGTTCAACAACTAGCCTTTTAATCCACACCGATATGAAATGCGTTTCAATAGAGAACGGGCGCGTCATGAAAACTTGTTTATCCCCCGTGTGATTAAATATCAATTGAATTTATATCATATTCAAGAGCAGTGATATATTTTATTCAATACGCTCATTAGCTTTTTGTCTATAAAACGGACACTTTTAGAGCACGTAGCATAATGTAAGCTTACGATGCATAAAATGTTTTTGATTTTCTAACTGTGTATTATACTATTGTACAAAAAGTCCACATTGAAATAACAAAGAAAAGAAAAGAATTTAATTTGTTTAGTCCTAAAGTTCCGCTAGGAAGCAATAAACAAGTGGCGGCGGCGGGACAACCGCTTACCAAAAGATAAGGAACAACTGACTGTCATAAAATATTAGAGGACGGGAAACACCAACCTCGGCCGCATCGTGTGTTGCCCTCGATGGTCTAAAAACAGCCGCTATGAAGGGTCGCCTCCGTTTAACGCCCTGTCCCCGTCCCCGGCTATGCAGGCTACGTATAGTTTACGAGCGAGCCGCGTTCTATGAAATTTTCAAAGCAAATAGGTTCGATATTTGGCTCGCTACTGTTTGCCGTCATGTCGCGCTGTGAATTATTAAATTATCACATGCACCTTCCTCAATTATATCGGATAACCAGAGAGTCTGTTACTTGGCAGACAATTACGCGGCGTCAGTTATTTGTATAATAAAAATAGTATCTAAGGATATTAATGATCATTGTACATTCGCAGAGTTTGCGCAGCATGAGTCGGTGGAGGTCCCGGTTCTGCTGCTGTAGTGCGCGGGCGCGGGCGTGATGTCGCCCGGCGCGCCCCCCGCGTGGCCCAACACCGCGCCCCCCGTGTGGCCACCCGCCATGCCGCCGCACATCGCACTGCTACTTGTGCTGTGCCTCGTGCGCTGTGACACCAAGACCTTGCTGCAGGACAAGCTAGGTGCGTGCACACCACACAACATTACACATCACACGCGCACACACGCGATACCGATTTGAAAATTTTTATTGTTTGAAATAAGTACAACTAATTTAAGAGATTTCTGGTTACAATATTATTTACTAACTGAGAAAGAGAGAAAAATTACGAAATGACTTTTGTATAATTTTTACTTTTGTAATATTTCTTCAACTAAATTTTGTGAATATTACTTTCTCTGAATTGTATTATTACTAATCTTTTCCCTCAATCGAAATACAAATAACATTCAAAGCGTGCTTCAGGAAAAAGTTTCAATTAAAACAAATCAAGTGTAGACAAGGCGAAACGTAATTCACGTTCCTCCCAATAAGGTACAAAGCGCTTCCCCGAGCGCCGCGCATTTCCTCGTCCGCTCTCAGCTCTCCACAGAACTGCTCAGAATAAACACTGGCTTTAACGACGAAATAGCTTTTTATCTATTAATTCAAACCCACTCTTTAAAATATCCCCATTTGCGCCACTTAAAATAAGTTTTCTTTTTAACTAATTTACATAACTGAATTTTAGTAGCGCGAATCGGTCCGGTCATCTATAATTATTTTATTGGAATGTTAAAACCGATTTATAGTTGTCAAAAGCCCTAACACTATTAAGATTAGTGCCTTCATGTTAAACTAGGGAGATTCGTTAACATTACTAAATCACCTCTAAATTGAAGATAAATTGGTGAACAGCGGCAACGTCAAGCAAGAAATTTTACGTTGTGTTAAATTTTATCTATATTTTTATGAATCATAAAGTAAGTGAGTTCGTCGTTAATTCTTTAAAGGTGTTATCTGCGGCCACTCCGCTTGAACAATGGTGGGCCCGTGCGGGGGGATGGCGCGTGGTGGGGGGGGCATGGTCTCTGATGGATCGTAAAGTGTGACCTCGTTCCTTTGTAACAGCTTAGAGTATTCATTTAGACCGGCTTTACATATCGACGGAACATTTTATTACTGGATAACTTTCTTGAATGCACCTTTCCAGTTATATCATAGTTACAATAGAAAATGTTATTAAACTATGAGAATAGAAATATATTACTGAATATACTATCACTCTTTATTAATGTACGGAAGCCAAATCAATATACCCACATGACTACCTATTAAACTGTGGAAAGAGACAAAATCCTTACTTTCCAAAATCGGTCAAGCCGTTCAAGTGTAACACGATAACACCGGAAGTGGACACGCCTACTTGGATACCCCCTAGGTAGTACATAGTGATAATAATCTTTATATTCCATGGTAAAGGTAAAAGAGGCGATAGATTATCACAATGGCGGCATTGAAAAGCGGAATATCTATAATACTTCCGTATTCAGGCACGTTTGAATGCATTCCACGGCAAAGGTAATAGCGTGAAATGTATCATTTCCTTGTTATGGGGACACAAAGGTGGCAATACGTACATTTAGATGCCGATGCGGCGGCGCGCGGCTGCACAAGGGTTATCCTGTACAGTGTGGTCCTTTCAACCGTTCACCCGCCGACGCCGGGAAGGTCCTGGCCATTGTCCTCCGAGCTAAGCCCGATGATAATATTATGCCATCCGTTCATATTTTATTCATGGAAGCTATTCAATCCTTTGTTCGCTGTTTGAACATGATTTATTTACTCGGTCTTTTATTTGTTGTCCAAATTTGCGTCAAACGATTTGTTTTGCATTGTTCGGAAATCAGAATACAGATATAATTCTATAAAGGAAGAGGTTATAATATAATATAAGGGAACAGGAACATGTTTGGAGGTACTTTGCATGTCTGATTCATACTTGACCCCGTGAGGTTAGTAACGAGTGTTACATACGACTTGCTTTGTGTCCAATACAAATAAAGGGTACAAACCAAGTCTAGATAAAATTTCAAGAATCATGACTATTTCGTGCAGAGTGAAAAGTGAGAAACTATTTTTGCAACATAATGCGCATACGTGTGCATTTCGAAATGCAATTTGGTTGGTGGCGCGCGGAGCCTCCGTCAGCCGAGCGCCCTCGTGTGCTGCGACTTATTGGAGCGCAAGCCCCGCGCCTCTACCCAAGGCCTTGGTTACTGCATTGCATCGAATATTTAAAGGTCTAATTGTAACGCTACTAATTGTGAAAAAATGTACACGCCGCGAACAGAGGAAGATTAAGACAAGTAAATGGGCAACATTTTGTTGTTTTGGGTTTATATCTATAAATAGGATTACGATTAAATAACAAACTAAACGTGATTATTTACCGCTATAGTTATTTAAAATAGCGCTCAGTACAAAATAGATAAAGAACGTGTAATTAATAAAATTAGTGATTATAATGAAAATAATGATTTAATTTAAATATCAGATCGTTACATGAAATTTTACTAAATAATTATTGTCACGTACATTGTTGTTTGTTATGGAGATATATACTACATATAGATAAATAATGTCTGAGCAGTTAGTCGTTGCGTTGCACAAAGTGTGTACACGGAGCTTGCAATAACAAGCACCACTTTGACCGCTCAAATGGAAGCTTGTGTAGATAATGGCTTTACAGAGATTTCGACCCAAATCAGGCAACTTAACACACTTTTTGTAGCTGCAAGATGTTAAATCGATGCCCTAGAATATCGAGAACATCGCAAAGAGCACACACGCCGCGCCACGCCACACGTACAAATACATCTGGAAACAATTATAAAACTTTATACAATGACTCACTCGCAGATAATAAATTAAGAAATATATTAAATTAACTATTAAATCTGTTGCATTTGAATAGACAATTATTAAAATTATACATACTTAAAATTTCTTTAATTATTTTTAAGTTTTGTCCGACGTTTTATTTAAAAATAATGTTTATGTAATAACCAAATTATTTATGATGTAAAAAATTGTTAGATATGTTTTTTAATTAGTTGCTTAGCATTGTATTTGGTGAAGCAAGGGGGGGAATGCGAGTGGTGTCTGCAAATCGAGTAAACTGATGTATTTAAGTTGTGTACATGAAGTAACAATACATTACGACAACGTATATTTTGTCATAAGTTATTAAATAGTTAGTAGTGAAGGGGCCGGGCCCGAAGCAACTTGAAATTGAACGGCCTTAATTTATTCATTGGCGAACAAATAATAAACAATTCTGAGGCTGTTTGTGGCGTTCGCTTTTAATTATATTTACACTTAATGGATAGAATCTTACAGCTTGTTGTCGAAGTGAAAGTTATTTTGAATAAATCACGAAGGCGACGCTCAGAAATCAAGCGACGTCACTGAAACTGCTTTAAGTTTATACAATCTTTGTTAACGATGCAAATTTTGCTCTAACAGAGATACGAGCTGTGACGTCACGTGACGTGACGTACCTGCTGCTATGTATCAGTCATTCTTTAAATAGTTACCTACTCTCAATAAGTAAACATTTCTACATAAACTACTAATATAGGATAAATTTAGATTAAATATATACTGTAATGTCACCTGTTTGGTTGAGTTAAAAAAAAAACAGATATTCAAGCACCGGCTCCTATAGAAATTAGAAGAAACCAAATTTTGTACAACGCGGTTTGTATTAACATGGATATTTTTAATATTGTGACGGTGAACACACACAACACAGTGTGCCTGTTCGTACTTCTCCTTTACTCATAAATGACTAACAGCACGAAAAGTGGACATTAACAAATAAATTGAACGTTTCTCTCTGATAAAAAATTATTCATTCAGCGAATCAATATTCTGTTACAAATCACTATCGGTTTAAAGAGAACGCTAAAAGGGATTGAATAAATTTGCATGACAAATGCGTGTCGCATCGAAGTATTTTATTTTTCGAAAGAAAAATATGAGACGACCCCGCGCCCGGTGCGGCGCTGGCGGTGGCGGCCGAGATTCGACTCTATTTCCATAAATAATAACGGAGAACATTGTCGGGAGATTTTTATTCGCTTCACCAATTTGCATGTCCTTATCGGAACGAATGGGAGTCACTGCGAGGTCACAAAGCGTGTGCTTCATTCAAATAAATTTTATTTTCATATTCGGAGATCGTTATCTTTTACGATAGAGCGGCCATATTTTATAAACTCCGCACAAATCTAGATATCGCTGAGAGCTCCGACCGGTGCAGTGCCTCGGGAGACAAAGTTCCGGTCTAGCTTCATTGATTCGATAACGATCTTTTCTAGGCTCTTATTAAATCTGACAATTTCGCTGTTTTATATTTTTATAAGCTCTATTCTATTAGTCTTGTCCATGTATTATACCATTATAACACAATGCTAAGAATTATATGAAATATTACAATTTGTAAACAGACGCACACACCAAACAAGTTACATTTGTATTTCAAACATATCATTTCGATTTCTTGAAGAAGAATGAGGAGGGCCTTGACAACTTACTTTTCTAAGATCGCAAATCCACATTTGTACGGCTTACAGAAGCTTATGTAAACTTCTTTTGATGTCTTCACATTTGATACTTTGTACAGTTTCTACATACTATCTAATCATAATAATAATAACTAGAGAAATAATTAATTTATTGCGTATCTGAATAAACACCTATAATAAAAATATAAATCAGTCAAAATCATTGTAACAGTATTACTACTATATACTATGTGGGGGATGTCAACCGACGTCAAAGTTCAATTTGTAGCAATAATTGTGGTGACGTCAGTGCTCAAAGCTGTGACGTCACCTCACCTGTCGAGATAATGAAACGCCGCCGCGCCAACAACGCTTCTCTATTAATTATCACTTCACTACTCTCATCTTAGACCACACATGTTACCTGAAATTTGTTTCACGTTTAATTGACATCTACAGAATTAATTTTGAATAATTAAGTACATACTTTGCGATTTACGTTTGTTTTTGAGAAGTATTCAAACTACAAAATAATCGTGTATAATACTATTTTACCGCTTTTTAATTTGGAAAAAAAACTAAAAAGACAAATTGAGTTGGCTGAAATGATTACTTGTGACTTTTTGAAGCA